TCTCCCCATCTGGATTTATGTTCTCGTTTAAAGGTTTTAAATGTTTATCACCGACAAAACAGAGCAGTCGCCTCATGCTCGCAGGGATAAATGGAGTGTTAGAGGACTCGCTTGAAATGACACGCATGCCCTGACCACTTGGGAGGTCTTCCTCTACTCTCACAGACTCAATACGTGACGGTTTTTATGCAGTATAAGCTTTTTCTGAAATGTCTGTGAAGGAGTCGTTGTGCTGAGCCGTGAGACCAGCTGTTCAGCACACGTAAAGTAAATTCGCTTGGAATTTTTTTTTAGCCAATTAGATTTTTTTTAAATTACATATAGGTTAGCCTAGCCTATATGTAACACTATATATTTATACGTTATATTTTGTTGCATAAGATATTCTGGTGTTAAAATATACCATTCAAAATCAAATTACATTTTTATTTTACAAACCGAATTTGTTTTTTGTGCAAATAATCTAATAAAACATAAAAATATGTCACGTGCCAAGAGTAGCCTACTGTGCAATCGAGTATTATTGCACACAACGTTGTAATTACAACATTTAAAATCTGTATCAATGTTGAAGGGCCATCTTTGTAGAAGCATTGTCATCGCCAAGTTTTTCTTCTTCTTTTTTTCTTTTTTTAAGAAAAAAGGGTTAAATGTAGCTATAAATAAACGATTTTCAAATCATTTTCAGAACGTTGTGCACCACAGTACAAATAGTACAAGTAGTAGGCTACAATTGAAAACAGCAACGACGAAAACGGCTGATTTTTATATATTACCACGTATAGCTTTAGTTTTCAGTAGTTTTGCGCCAGTTGTTATAAGCCAACAAATCACTTTCCAGGAGGTAAAACCAGTTTACCGTAGTACACGTCAGTGATCCTGCCACTAGCTCGTCATGCAGATGTATAGCCATATCTTCTCATCAAGCATAACCTGATGGAGCGAAGCGTCTTTATTTCTTCAAAACTCATTCAGCTCATTCTTTCCGCGTTACCGTTGTTTGAGAAGTCTGGGCGCAAGAGTGCCTGAAGAACTTTTGGAGGACGGTTTGGAAGAAGAGGGAGTTGTTTCTGTGAGAAACCCAATCTCGTATACAGTAGCGGCCTCCATCTGGGAACTGTCACAACTGACAGCACCACGGGCACTGGCCTGATCTTCCGCGCAGCATTCAGCAAAACACAGTAGGCTACACTCTCTCAGAATGGTACATTGTCTGGTTGTTTAATTATTAGGAAATCAGCTGGTAGCCTAATTTATAACCTCATACATTGGCGCCGCAGTATTTGAGAAGTGTAGCAGATCGATATTTATTTGAGAAGTGTAGCAGATCGATATTACTGTCCTGTCAATAATTCCAATATAAACGGGAAACGTTTTTGGGTCAGTGACTAAGAATCCATTCATCTACAATGAATGCGATTTATTGTGTATACATTGAACCTAATAGTTAAATAATGAAAATAGGCCTATATAGTCCTACATATATAAACAATATAAATATAGGCTATATATAATAATAAAATATAAATTAAGATTACAAAAAGGTAAGATCAAAAAGTGGTGTGCAAATCTTAAATTTATGAACAAAAGAGGATTTCGTAACTTCATTTTTTTGTATAGCCTAGTTTATTCGAAATCACTTGGAATATTGTATTTACGCTTTAATTACTCTTCTTGTTGAAAATAGGGTGTTTAATTCTCCATTTCAGTCAGTAGGACCAGACTTGTTTTGTTGCAAAAATGATCAAAATGGCTGCGAATGTCGGCGAAACGCACCCAAAATAATTTAAACTCGCATAACCTAAATTAAGTTAAATTGTTATCTATTATACTGGGACACAATGAGGAACACATTTATGTGTGACAAAATGTAAAAAAATAATATACATCTAATTACACCGAGGTGATCCAGATCTATATTAAAATATAGTGTACGGAAAACCATATCAAGTGCTGTAGAGCTTTACGAACTTTAAGAACACACGACATTGCTTAAAAAGGCCTGCGTATCATCTGAATTTAAAATTAGATACAGACTGCGACATTCAGGTCTAGATTTTTGCGCGATTGTTTTTAATCTAAATGTTTGATCTGAGATCGTTCCACTTATAGGCTATACAACACAGACTTTTTTCGAAGCTTAAAATGTTTTAGGCTATGATGTCTACTGAACGGTTTTGATGCTTGAATTTAGGTTGAGGTAGGATCACAGGCCTTGTACGTGATTACTTTTACCATATAGACTGTAGGCACAGGATGGCTCTGTTCTGACGTCAACATGTCTACTAGCCACTGCTGCAGACAGAACAAAAATGGAGGAGGGTCTTATGAGCTAATGGTTTACAGATGTCTGTAATACCAAGAAAAAGATGTTGTTTGGTCCATGCTTTAAAATATAATACGACCCTATAAGTTCGAGAACTTTAAGATCGACTTTTGGACAATTACACAAAAGAGACCTAGTGAATTTGTTATTATGCTGGGAAGTGGCTTGTGCCATTGGCGAGGCAAGTTGATAGGCTATAAAGAAGACTAAATATACTAAAAAATATATTTTTCTGTGCTGGTCAGGATAAGTAAGAATTAGAGATATTAAATCATATGAGACATGGGAAGTGAGAGATAAAAGAGCTATATACCAACGAAATTGTATATTCCTGGATTAGACGACTTTGTTTGCTTTAGTGCCAGGAAATAAGGGCTCTTTACTACTTTGGGCCTTCAGGAATCATGGTGTCGAATGTAAGAAGTGTTCTCTTCCATTTGGAGAGTCATTCCTGTTACAGCAGCGGCAGCAGGTCACAATGAGGTCACAGCATTATCTGTATTCTTAATCAAGGGAGTACGGACGGCTAATTTGATCTGAGACGCCATCTTGACACTCAACAAATTATCTACAATTATTTGCGCATAGGACCTGTGGAATCAGACAATGCAATGTAATGTAAGCGGTAATTTAATGCAACTGGATGGGTCTTAAATTGTCTGTGTGTCTTCCTATCTAAGCAGATTTACTCTGGTGGAGATGTCAGTTTAATTGCATGCCTTAAGAACCTTAGACGAAAACTATGAGGCCTGCTCCGAGAGAAAAGCACTTAGCAAGTAGCACGTTAGCCCACAAACATTCACCAAAAAGCTAATAACAGTCAAGAAATATGTTAGAAAAAGAAAAAGACTAATCTTTCTAAATATGCATCGTATGCATCATTTTAAAAATCGTAAAACATGAAGAATCTATAATAAATCACTGACGTCACTGTATTATTACATAGGCTATTCCATAATGCCATTATATTATTATTATTCCATAATTCCAGCCGGTAGGCTATACGGGCATTGCCAAAATTCGGTTCTATGAATTGTGGTGCTAACCCCCCTCTACACCAGTGGGAAGTTTCAGCTGCACATTTTGATCGGCACGTTATCAATCGTTTGCACATCCGAGCAGGCCTTGGTAGCTTCAGCAAAGTCTGGCCCTCCTCCGTATTTTGTTGTTAACGTCATTTGGGCATTTTCCACAGGCTCCGGTGAGTCTACTCAATCATTTATTTTAGCAGTTATGGAGTTAAACGTCTTGCAGTTTTGCCACTTTATAGCGATTACACAGCGTATAATTGTATTTTGTACGACCTAGCCTGAGCAATTTCAATGATAGAATCGTGTTTATTTAAAAATACTGTCAAAGATAGCCTAATTAACATTAAATAACCTGAATAACATGAATAGCCTTCTTCGATATTTAGATGGTACTCTGGATTTGTTTCCTCAATCAATAATATAGGCTAATATTGTGATTTTTTTCTTTATTAGCCTACATGAATAAAATTGTATAAAATACCCTATACAGTCATGGAAACAAATCATCATTTTAATTAGCCTATCATTTTATCTTTTTTGGCACCTGCTGCAGAAACCGTATCACCTGTTCAACAATGTTCATTTAATGCTGTTCATTAATATGCAAATTTCGTCATGCACACTCACAAATGTATTTCAAATTAAGATGAATGCAAATTTTTATTTTGACAATTATATTTATCAGTTATTATTTTTTAATTGTAGTTACTTGAAGCTATAGACAGCGTTGTTACCCGAAGCAGCCTGAAAGAGGCCTACTTATAAAAAATAATTAGCCTACCTGTACGCAAGGCCGATAGCTAGCATTAACAGTTTATTTGTAATTAATTGTAACTATTTTTAGTAGCCTATTTAGTGTTGCAAGCATCAGTTGACAAACTGTTCACAACAGCCACGTTGCTGACCCTTCAGCAGTTTTGTCAAATGTAAACATTTGTCTTAAAAACTTCAGATTACTTTTTAAAAGCCAATATGGCTCAAAGCAGGACACAGTTTGGGCTGCTTAAATCATTCTGTTTGTGCTCGAGGAGCTGCTGCATGCATCGCGTGAGTGCTGTTTGATTCGACTGTCACGTCTATGTAAGTAAAACTTAAAATATATTCAACAGTCTCTCTAGGCCCTGAAACGTATAATTAATTTCTACACTGTAGTAGTCTATGTTCTTCTTACGAACAGCACTTATCTTCTGTGAATAATTATTTAGTGTACAATTTACCAAGTGGCATCTTTATGTTAAATTACATTTCAATACAACAAAAGGTTTAAGGCTGTTAAAAACACAGTGGTTTATTGAATTAATTACATTGTTTACATCTCCAAATATTATTTAAATTTTGTGTCTCTGGACGGAAGTGCACTGAGTGGACTCGACAGTTGTTTCAGACACCAGCATTGTACGACCACAAAATAACATTATAACACTTCATGACATTTTCAAATAAAACATTTACTATATCATAACATAGACTAACCTTCCTCAAAATTAAAGAAGAGAGAGACAGAGATAGATACCGAAAGTGATAGAGAGACAGAATGAGACAGAACTTCCACGTGTACTCCTTAGTGGCACATATCTCATTTTGATTCACAATGAGACAAGAAAACAAACAATAATAAACCAATATCAGACAGCAACACACAATCTCTTACCAAGAGAGTAGCCTATCCTCCTTCTAAAATGGAATGGTTTTTCCTCAAATATCCACTGTCCGTAGCGGGAAATTGCACATAAATATTCCATTAAATAAAGTGAGAGAACAACTAAAAATGAGTTCAGAGGGCCTCATTTTGTGTCTTTTGCATTAGTCTCATTGTTTCAGTTCCAATGCCCACACATGCTGCGGCCAACCAGTTCTCCCTTTAGTTTTCTTGTCATTACTGCTCCCTGAATTTTTCAAAACGTCGTTCTGTAAAAAAAAAAAAAACCACACAATAGAGATTATTTGTATAGCTATTACACATTAGGCTACCGAATTTTATCAACGTACTGGTCACGGTAAAGACAGCTAATTAAATTAACTTATAGCCTACAACAAAGATACAGGCACAGCAGCGTTCACAAAACAAAGTTTTCCACAGAATACTTTTAAGCTTTTATATCAAAGTCGAAGCAAGTTTCCATTAGGTTATATGCAAGTCTAATATATGACAATACGTTTTTTGACGTTTATGAAGATCTATTCACTTTATTTAAGACCTTACCATTTCTTTCTTTCGCCTTTCTTCTTTGGCGTCTGTCTTTTTGAATTCCGCTTTGAAGGCCTCTGCTTCCCCGTTCTGTTCGTCTTTGTCCAGAATGTCCATAAGGTAAGCAATGTAACTGGTAGCCAAACGAAGGGTTTTGATTTTGGACAGCTTCGTATCCGCGGGCACGTTGGGAATGCATTCCCTGAGTTCTGCAAAGGCGCTGTTGATACTCTGAGTCCTGCGCCTCTCCTTTCGGTTTGCCGTGGGTCTACGTTTCACTGGTCGGGGTCCCATTCCAACGGCGCCGGCCCCCGGTACTCCCCCGTAGTGCGAGTGGTCGAGCCCGGGTGCTCCCGCCGAGTATTCGGGGCTGTAGGAGGGTGCCATACTGTAGTCTGGAGGAGACATCTCCGGATGGCTGATAAGCCACCCATGAAAGTAGGGGGGTTCTTCATGACAGCGACTGGCAGCAGCTGCAGCAGCGAAGGAATAGCCGTCATGATGCATCACCGGGTGGTGGGGAAACCCTCCAACTAAACTCATGGCGACAGACTTGTGTACCCTAAGGCGAACCACAGACGGAGTACGCTTTGGCTCTCAGATTGTGCGTACTTTGACTTGACGATTTACACACTGGTTGTCTCCCCATAAAAAATATTAATTTGTTGCTTTCTAGCAGCAAAAAAATGCAGTCCTGCTTATTTGTCCAGAACAAGGATAGGCTACCGCGGACTTTCTAGCAGATCATTAACAGACGAACAAAACAGGCTTCAGCTGTAACTGCACTCGAGTTATTAGTGAAAAATCATTACTTACACTTATATTCACCACTGCAAATATCCATCATGAGAAAGTCCCATTGCTAATAGTTATTAATGTTTTAGCGGTGTTCAGAACCTTTTTTTCTGAATTTCAAACCCGTTATGGAATCAATGAGGTGGAGCGTTGGATGGAAAAATTTCCAATCCCAGTCGATGTTATGCACGCAATTCGCAGCCTGATTCACTCTGTGGAAGCAGGCGAATTTCGCCGTTTGATCTCCATGTCAGCTACATATTTTGAGCTGCTTGGGTTCATATATGTCGTCAAAACTGTTCTCAGCCAATAACGTTGTAGAGGAGGAGGGACATGAACTGCGTCGTTAGGGTGTTTACGCTCCCAAATTGCACGAACCCTTGCAAAGATAGCCCACTTATAGCCTATATATACAACATATATAAAATAAATGTGAAATACATGCAAAAGGGACTGGTAACGTATGCTGCCATTCCATGTTTTTTTGATATTTTGTGTGCGCGTGCGCGCTCTTGCGTGCGTGTGTGTGCCAATTAATGGCATTCATATTTTTTATTAATTTTAAATGTGTGTGTGCCACAATACAGCCAGTCTTTCGTACATTTAATTTAAAGCCTTTAATGCAGCAATGAAACTGGCTAAATAAAATAGCTTTTTCCTTTTCAGATAAGCTGAGAGTAAACATTTGTGTAAGATGCCTTTTTAACAAACAAAATAGAGATGGATCGTATTCAAACTAGAAACCTGGATGAGATTGATTTTTATTTATTTTATTATTTTATTTTATTGTTATTATTTTTTAAGTATCACTGCTTCTTGAGGGGGAAAACAAAACAAAGAATAGCAAAGTGCAGTTCAAGATTTGACATTTAAAACATGTTAAAACTTTATTCAGTGTGCTGTGCATTTTTATCTGGCATATATAATAAGAAAGATGTATACATCTATATAATCATTTGAACTAGCTACAGTCGGCTGTAAAATTTCTTAGGCCTAATCATTTAAACTTTTATTAAGGATAGATAGATAGATAGATAGCACTTTTGATACATCTAGGGAATATAATTATACTTTTCGCTTGTCAAAAACGAGTTCAATAAAGATATGTGTGATTTTATAAAAATAACAAAAAGGCAAAAATTCAGAAATCTAGTGTGTATGTGTAAATGTTTAATCTACATACACATTCAGTGCATGAAACAAAATTTTTTTAAAAAATGTTTTTGGCAGTAGTAAGATGAATGGATCTATTTTCCTTTCCGTAATAGGCCTATAACTTGTTGTTTTAATGAACCAATAGAAACGCATTATAAACACATAAAAACAAGTATAGAAGAAAATATTATAATAATGTAAAACATAAATGTAACGTAAAATGTATAAAATAGGCTAATATCGTAAAAGCATTTAGTCTTTTAGACTGTATTTGAATGTTTTGACAGAATTGATCACGCAATCCCACAGCAATGGGATTTTTATTATATTTGATAAGTAAACAACGATGCTGTTTCGTCGTGTTAAGTCCAAATAAGCGCGTAGTTAAAAAATTATTGATGCCATTAAAGTTTAGACATTATCAAGAGCAGGACAGTGATTTTGACTGTAATATATGTTTATATCGTGTGTTTGTGTACGAAACACTTTACAATAATGTTTCCTGGGTCTCTTAATCCTCAGATGGCCGTTTATTTTTATTTGTCTATGCTTGAACACATATTTTGAGCGTAGTGTAGAAAAGTGCAGACAATTTGAACTGAATCCAAAAGACATGCTAATTCTGAGCAGTGTTGGTTGTAATTTTTTTTTTGTTATTTTTTGTTTTTGTTTTTTTTACCATGCGAGTATCAGTGCTGATTGCGAGCCCTTTCGGAGGACTTTGAGCTGATATTTTAGTTTTTTAATTTGGACAGTTCACAGTGTATTGTTCCAGGTGCCAAATATAACAGCGATGTTAAACAATGTGTGAATATTTATGGGCATATCTATTCCTGTCTGTGTGTCAGTGTGTGAGTGAGAGAGAGAGAAATGAGGGGAGAGGCAGAGAAAAAAGGAGAGAAAGAGGGAGTGGTGTGTGTGTGTGTGTGTGTGTGAAATTTCACAAAAGAAGGTTCAAGATTTATTCGTGTTTAAGTGTTGTGTGTGGGGTTCAGGCGTAATTCATCTGTCTGAATGGAAGTACTCGAGTAATTTAAATAGGCCGAGTCTCCAGTTAATGACATATAATCAGCCTGCAGGTCACTTGGTCAGACTCCTGGTATAGACCCCTCCTCCTCCTTCTGATCTCCTTTCAAACTGAATTTTGTAAAAATAAATAAAGTTATGCAGAACCAAATATTTGAGCATGAGAGAGGTATTTAATAATCGTTGCATGAATCAAAACTAATAGACTATGATCAGAATGTATGAATATGTATTGGCATTAACAGGACTTAGGCAAACGATGAATGGAGAGAAAATAAAATAATAATAATAAAAACAAATGACAATAAAAATCTGCATGGTTGTAATTCTATTTAACTGAAACTACGTAATTCAAAGGGGGTTGTTAATGTTTTTAACAAAGAATAGAATTACAGTATTTTATAGTGAAGAAGAAATTCCTTAAACCGTGATGTCGTTTTAAACCTTCCCATGCGTTCCCTGCATATTCACCAATATTTTAAAGCTATAATTATTATATCCCACCTCTGCTTTCAGTTTTCCTGCTCAATTCTGAATGTTAATTGTTGTTATGTTTCATGATTAAAGTATCCCACTGAACTATCGTATGCTTTTCCGTTATATTAGACAGTCTGAATTTTAAAGTGTGCTAAAAATGAACATTTTCCTTATTGACCTACCTGATCCTGCAAAAGGTTGAAGCCTAATGTCCCATCCCCCAGTCAGTCAGTGACCGGTGGACTCCTTCTTTCCTCTGGAGGTCTCATTAAGAGAGTCGTGTGCTATTTTCAACATTTCCTCAATCCAGTGACTTAAAATAAAGCCGCTCAGTCACACCGGCGGAAAATCCACCCAAATCACGTTACCCAACTTCTTGGCCAGACGTTTGTTCTCTTTGCCGATGTAGCTGTGATAATTGACCGTCTCTGAAAACTGACATGTTTTCCCACCTTGCCTCTCCACTAATATGCCGACAGGTAAGCCGTAACAAGCGCCTCAGCTTAATTTATATCAGTATTAAGCCCATCTGATATGTCAACTGATATGGAACAGGCAAAAGGCCAGATTTAGGGGACATTTACGAGATTTTAATACAATTCATCTGCCCTCATGAATCACAGTCATTATAAACAGGTTATTCCAAACATGCGGGGAACTTATTTGCTTTGGCACACACCTTTTTCTTTCTTTCTTTCTTTTTTTCTTTAATACAATACAATACAAAATACCGTTTTAAAATGGTCGTTAATATTGAGTTATTTAATAATTTTAAAGAAGACCATTATTTCCTTTGATTTAATAATTCCCTTGATTTGAAAAAAAATAGCGCATATTTAAAAATGGGGGGACAGTTTTGCTGTTGTTGTTGTATTGATGCATTCCACCATTTCATTTAAAATGTTATTTGTCAATTAATTATCCATAGAAAAGTTTTTGGTTTAATTCACAACATTAGTTTACGTGAACGCGTATTTAAGATAGATATATACTTAATTATTTATCGACCTTTAGTTGATTATTGATTATTTGACTATAAAAATATTAAGCAACGTTTATTTTACCTAAATATCTAGAAATTAAATAAAATGACACAGACACTCATTAGTATCAAGTATTTTTTAGGAATACAAATATATTTTCCAAGGATAAAAGGAAGAAAGATGGTGAAGTTTTTTTGTTTTTATTGCAGGGTTTTCTACAAAAGGAAAACATAAACATTGAATGCAGTTTTAGTACTGTAATGTGCAATTGTAAAAGTCTTTTAATTTTATTGATATTTTATATTTTTAAATGTTTATCTTAATTTAAAAGCTGTTTACACAATTAATCATAACACATGCAGGCCTAAACAGATCTATAAAATGGATTTATAAACTTAATACAATTTAAATATATATTAAATATATAAGTTATTTTATACTAATGAATGGAAATTTGGTATAGCGGATAGAACTCATAGGTAACAGTGTGAGAAGTGTTTTTAAATTAACATTAGAAGAAGGGTAATTATAACACCATATATAAATATATATAGCAGTTTCTGATACCAGTATACATTTTCATATATTTCCAAATCTCTAAGGCTGTGTTCACAGTTAAATGCATGTGCATCATGAATGCCTAAACACTTATCTTTTGTCAGTAGCTCTAGCTCTTGTGAATTCTTGCAATCAATTTTCAAATATTCATTCATGAGAACCCTCCTCTCTCTTTCCTGTCACTCATTTCCTTCTCTCCAACCCATCAATAATTATTATCTATACTAATCATCACTCGGAACCCATGTCTTCTAACACCTGTTCACCCCCTAACACATAATAACTCATCCTCACTTTCAGAGCCAGCCTGAAAGATGTGCTCTGGTGCTCCCAGAATGCCCAGATTCTGAAGCAATTTGTGGATAGGCTGGTTCTGCTGCTTTCCAATGATGGTTAACTCTCCGTCTGATCAGAACCACTTCCACTATCTCCATTCGTCTCCAAGTTATCTTCATTCCCTCCGTATGTTTTTGCAGACTTCCCCACTGAACCACAGACATTTTCCCTCCTCCTCTTCATCTTTCCATCACCACCCACTTCTGTTTTCATCCCCCCCTTTCTTCTTGCTCTGTTTTTGATGGTTCAAAGTCTCCTCACCTCTCCTTCACCAACACTAATTTCCTTTCAGCGCACACACATACACAGAAACACAAGATCAACCCTCCCATTGTTTCGTGCCCTCCTAAGTTACTCTCTGATTACGTAAAGCAGAAAAGTGTGAGAAAAGGGCCGAAATGAATAGAGGGTTAATCTCCATGTGCCTCTTGATCAGGCTGCTGTCCGTTTTATACCATTGAGGTCAATGTTGAAGCCCTACAGACAGTAATACGAGCAGCACACCTGACATGTGGGAAAAACAGGCCTCAGAGCCAGTGTGATCAGACAAGCCCCTGTGTAACAGACACGGACAACTCATCCGTTCACACACCAGACTCACGTTCATATTCGCTCGCCATGCAGACATTTCCTCCTGGTGTCTATTTGCAACCACATTAAGTATTATCACCAATCAATCTCTACCCAAATAAAATGAGAGTGAAAAATCATTACACTAA